TGCGGCAAAAGTGCTGCCAATTGTGCCACAACACAATGGGGAATCACTCAATCGCAGAAATCACAATACACGCACTCCTTCCCTCAACACGCGCAGTCAAAACTCTTTGTCACTCTCTCACACAGTACCGCGTCGAATGGAAACGGACACACGAGCAGACAGAAACCGTCACATGAGTGTGTGGGTGGCCGGCAGACAGACAACACACTCACTCACTCCTTCGCTCAAAGCTGACAGGCACAACGAGGGAGGAGCCCCCGGCCACACACATGAGTGTGTGACAGACACAGCCGCCCACTACTGTGTGTGTGTGGACTCTCTCCTACTCTATGCTGACCAACCGCAGCCGAAAGTAGCGGGGATAGGATACGTATGGCACTTTGATTTGCCTCACCTCCCCCGTCCGCATCGACAGCAACGCCTCACGGAACCACTCACGCTGAGCAGACGCACGATACACCAGCCCACGGCTATCGATGACTTTGTCCCGGCCGTCGAATGCATCACGCCACTCGATGATGTCGACCTTGACGGTGTCGTCGAGTGTGGGCACTCTGCCGCCGCCCTCCTGCACCACCTCATACAGCTGACCGGTCGATGACAATGTGCCGGTCCAACGGCCGACAATGCTGGTGTTGGCGATCTGCTGCTGTGACGATGATGAGCCCTCCTGCCGCTGACGCAGGGCAGCGCCGCCGTCAGTGGTCACTCCAACACTGATCAACGAAAGGACACACACACAGCAAGGGCACACAAATGTCTGCCTGTGCCGCCATTCAGTGCAGCCATTGTGTGTGTGAGATACCTGCTGGCCAGCTGCCGTAGGTCCAGGTTGACGTCTTCGAAGAGGCTGATCTTGCCGTAGTCGGTCTTGCGGATGAACCGCCGCTCTCTGCGGCCGCCGAGAGGGCCACCCTCCCCCTGCTGGACCGAGATGTACAGCCCACTGCCGTCGGTGAAGACATTGCGGCCCTCAAACAGACCGACCACGCGGCCCGACAGACTGCTGAGCGACGATGACATCCTCACAGATCCAATCCAATGCTGCACACATCACACACAGAAGAGAGGGCCCACAGATATGAACGTGTTGATCAGATCTCGGTCATATTATGGTCGCCTGTGCTTTCCTGACTCACCTGGCCTCGCGAGAAGCCAAATTCCCTTCACCTCTTTTTGCTCCGAGCTGAGCTCGCGCTTGGGAAGTTCGTTTCGTCGCTCGTGAGGCAGCGTGTCTGTTGAGAAACCAATCAGGCTATAGCCGAGGTTATCCATCTGCGGGCCGACACATCATTTCCTCAACAGTGTCCCCCTTCTTTGCTGCTGCATCAACGTTTCTGATGGATTCCCTCGGCACAGGCGGCCTCGGCAGCGGCGGATCTGCGGCGCCCACTGCCGCCGAAATGAACCAGGCACAGATGAGATCCATGCCCTTCTCTGCCTGGGGAACGTCCTCCTGGATGCCCCATCGTTGTAGCGGGATGGCTATGTGGATGTTTGCCACCCTCATGTTGTCCATGTCTGCTGTCGATGGCCTTGGGCTGCCAACGAACGGCTCCGAAGCTACCCACCGACACGAGTGCGACATCTCTGTGCGACAGAGTGTCGGTGTGTGACATCTCTGTCTGCCGTGTGTGCGTCGCGGCAGCGAGCGAAGAGGAAGCTTTGGGGAGCAATGACACCACCGGATTCCTGCGCTATCCGTCTGGGGCATATCATCGAGTGATCAAGGAGGGCACCGGCAGGGTGCCAAGAGTCAACGACACCGTCGAATTCGACATCGTGACGTGGTTCGACGGATTTGATGGCCACGAGAAGTACTTGGGACGACAGTGCGGTGGTGCGTCGTGTGCCTGATGTGAGCGACAACCAAGTGAGCTGGCAGCATGAGGCATGTCTATCGATGCGCGAGGGGGAAATAAGGCAAATCATCACGCCGGATACTAGTAGCTATATGCAGTGGCACATAATCAAGGTTACTCCTGGGTGAGCATACTATATGAGGTGGCCTCTTCTATCTTATCCTGATTGTGTGAACTTTCTTGTCGTTTGTCGGCTTCAGAGAATCCACTGCATCAGTCCCAGCCGCGTTTGTCACCCCCTCACATCACGCAGGTAGGAAAGCAATGGCAGGACTGCGGCGCGACGACGCGGCGGTGTGTGGCATCTCACTGTGCCCATATGCCCCCCCCCCCCATGTACAC